TATGTTGTGATTAGATGATTTGTAATGTTGGGACTAGATGATTTGTAGTGTTGTGATTAGATGATCTGCTATGTTGTGATTAGATGATCTGCTATGTTGTGATTAGATGATTTGTAATATGGTGATTAGATGATTTGGAATGTTGTGATTAGATGATTTGAAATGTTGTGATTAGATGATTTGTAATGTTGTGATTAGATGATTTGTAATGTTGTGATTAGATGATTTGTAATGTGATTAGATGATTTGTAATTGAATTGACCGACAGCAGGCTCAGTGACGTGCTTAGATATCAAAGGTTAAAATAACAGTATTCGTACTGATATTGTACGAGACAATGACTTTTGTGACAGATCGAATTCTACATTTACGTCTAACGTCCACGATGCAAAATGTAATAAACTGGTACTAATTCAAAATCAATAATGCTAAGAAAAGATGAAAATTTGATATGAGAAGGTTACAAGAGGCTTGCCTAACACTGAACAGAATCAAAGGAAAAGTCTACCCCATAATTTAATATGGCGACCATTGAGATGCGAGTGCTTCCGATATAAGTCGCGATGGGATTTGGATGATAATCGATCAGTTCATGTTTGTAAAGATTCAAAGAAATTAGGACCCAGTGCTATGAGCGTTAGTAAAAATCTAAAATCGGTATCATTGATTTATATTTTTAAATATTAAAACTTTGATCTGTACACTAATATATTCAAAGTGGTTAATATTGGGAAACAACATGTTATATTTCATAATTAGGCTTTATTGTTTTCTTAAATTAAACTTTATATGTCAGTCAGCATAGAAAGAGTATACAAGTATGGCGTCCTTGTTGTATATGGGATATTATTAACTTAGATATAATCACAATGATCATACACTTTTGTAAAGACTTCAGACATATTTTTGTTTAATTTGTATGACCTTAAGTATCACTAGATCAGACCTTGATGGACGAAATGGCCATAAGGTGCAACTTAAGATGTAAACAATCCTGCTATACTTAAGTTCTCGAATTTTGAGCAGACACAAAACTTCACGGAATAGTCCTTCGCTAAGATTTTCCATGAGGAATCAATATTGGAGCTACGAACACAACTTACATGGAGAGTTTGCTTAACATATGTGATGTTTTCATATTATAGAAAATCTTAAGTCACTGTATGTTTATTGATTTTTCTCGAAATGTTACTGGAAGTTAGTTCTTTAATTAGAAAAATATATAAATTTGGATAAATTAAACCCAACTGAACCTGTTTTAAATAAATATTTGTATCGTAAAAAAAATGCATAATTTATATCAAACACAGAAAGTGAAGCAAACAGGGATATACTTTGTTCAATTCAAACTGAATACTTTAGGTGGGGGAGGGGGAATTTTGTTGAATTGGCGTTATCTTCAATGATTGGTAAGGTCGATATATTTGAATAACGTTATTTCTTGTTTGTTCGTTATTGCTCTTATAAATCTTCTTTTTTTTTTAAATTTCTTTTCTGTTGTTGTTGTGACTGGCATTGTTTGCTTTATTGACATTGTAAGAACGAACAAGACGATAGGGGTAAGCCTTGATTAATGCCACTACCTTGATTAATGCCGCTGGCAAATCATGGTATAAAACTTCAATAATGTTTCAGATATTACGGCAGACATATCTTAACTTTTTACAGTATACCAGTATTTTGTTTGTTTGTGAAATTACGTTTATTTTACCGAATCGGAGTTTCTATAGTTTCATGAGTTAATATATATAAATAATCAGAAATTCTATTTCATCAACACAGACTTCATAATATTAAGTTTATTTCCTTTTGTTCTGATACAGTATAAGGCGGGATCTGCTTTGGTACAATAATGCTGATGTGTTTTAACTTTCGTTTTAATGTATAAGTGAACATCCTTACCAGGGAAACAATAATAATGCTGTGATGTCACATCCCTGTAGTACACCATGATTTATTTGGAAAAAGTTGGTTTCCAGTGCTTAGTTCAGTTTTTGGCGCAGTGGTGTGACCAACATAAAGGATGAATCTTAGATAATTGGGTATTTTTATGCGGAAAATATTGTTAAGCTTTCCTACCATGGACAATTACAGATTTTTCTCACGTTTAGGAGCGTTCCTGAAACTGAGGACATTTTTCCTATATATTTTCAGGAGTTTGAATTATAGCTTTACGTCTGAAAAGCAATACTATCATTACAATTAATGATTTCCTTATAGACAGTTTGTTAGCCTACACGCATGCTCTAGTTTGTAATATGCACTAAATTCATAGCATGTTGACGGCTTATGATAGTTACCAATTTCTAGAGCAAAAAATGGCTTTAGCAACAAATCGCCCGAGAGACTAACATCGATCGGTTTTCACAATAAACAGAAAATTGTTAACTCGTACCTGAACTACACAGAAAGCACCAATATGTGTTGAGTCATACCTCGTGCATTGAAGACAATACGAAATAATGACAACACCGAATCAGTGTTCATTCCGTTATCTTCTGAAAGTGAAAGGGTTAGAAAACGCAGGCGGAAATGCATCGAATTGAAAAAAAATGCACATGCTATCCATAAGTTTTTACGTCGACGTCAAAGATACACCACAGCATCACTTGAACTTGCCCAATATTTCGCTTTACTGTGTACAGGACTCTAGACAGAAGCTATGCATGAATTCAAATTATGTAACCAAAGGATAGAAAAATATTGAATTATAAATATTATTATGTACATTTTCTTTAGAGACATGCACTATGGGAGGTATAGACTGCTTGTAGAGCGATTTCTTTATAGATCTGTTCATCAGACAGTCACGAAACGCGGCGACAGTTAGCAGAGAACAGCATGTGGGATTATCGAACAGTATCTGCCATTGAGGACTGATAAAGCATGATCGTTCCGACAGTGAGGCTGTACAGACTATATATAAAGTGAACGGGGAATCAACCCGAGAAAGGCCTAGAGACGCTATCTCTGTCTTTTGTTTTATTTTTATATTTAATTCCAACACAAGGACTTCTCAATGGTTATTATATATATATATATATATATATATAATAAAAAGTGATTAAATGTCCATGTGAAGGAAGTAAATATAGAAAAAATAAAATTACCGACCGACTAAAAAACTAGCTGCTTTCACCCTTCACAGGGCTCTTCAGGTTTAACCTGAAGAGCCCTGTGAAGGGTGAAAGAAGCTAGTTTTTTAGTCGGTCGTTAATTTTATTTTTTCTATATATATATATATATATATAGAAAAAATAAAATTAACGACCGACTAAAAAACTAGCTTCTTTCACCCTTCACAGGGCTCTTCAGGTTAAACCTGAAGAGCCCTGTGAAGGGTGAAAGCAGCTAGTTTTTTAGTCGGTCGTTAATTTTATTTTTTCTATATATATATATATATATATATAGAAAAAAAACATTTTTTTCAGGTCCTGTATATTTAATACAGGACAGGGACATTTTTTTTATTGTAAATAAGTTCAGTTTTACCTCGGCGTAATAGTTAAGGTGGTGGAATCGTTGACTTTTTTCTACAAAATTTATAGGAATTCGGTTGTTCAATGATTCAAAATATGATTGATTGTACAATAACTGTTAAACGTATAGAGTTTTACTTTAATAAGTAGCCTGAATTAATTTGAAATAGAGCTGATTTATTTAGATGCTTTGCAGATGTCATCTGTTATTAGAAGGAAAGCAATAGCCCGGGGCGATGACGGCAGTGGTGAAGTATTAGATATAATATGATCGAGCCATGCATATTTAAAAATTAATAAAACATCCTTTTTTGTCTTCCAGATAAAGTAAACATCAGGTAATTACATGAATGGTGCTTTAAACTAATTGACATTCTAAAATTCAAAGGACATGCCTTACTATAACAAACATTAAGCGTGTGCCTGAGGCTGAGGCTGAGCGTTATTACGTAGCTTCAAAGTAGACACTTAAGTGCAAACTCGACCCAAAGCAGATTTAGGATGCTTGTTATATTGGAAGCTGAACTTATTGATTATACTGTAATGAATTTAACGTTGTTTGTTGATGGTGTTGAATTTTTGTGGGGTGCTTTAATGTTTTGTTTATGTATTCCTCTTTGTTTGCAATACTTTGGCCTTAAAAACAGGAACTGAGTTAAATAATGTAGAACAATATGAAAATCAACGTCTTGTTTGTGAAAAATAAATAATGACAACACAGTACGAGTGGAGAAAATATTAAATGATACCTGGTAATAACGATCATCACGTTGACTTTCCAAGTAAATGAAATTGGCCCAGCAGATAAAGCTATTTTAGTCTGGGTGAGTATACATCCAAACTAAATGTAGTAATGTCATCTTTTTGTACTCAAGTACACATAATTGATGTAACATTTACCGTTAATAAAAAGATAAACCATGGATTATAATGATTTACGTAAAAACACTATTGACAATAGAAAAGTTGCTCTTTTTATCAAAAAAATCTAATGCTTTAACTTTCCCCGTGCTGATAAATAGCGAAACACATGCCAGTAGATATAAGTAATCTTAGTTCTATTTTCCTTTTTTACCGCATCAAAGTAGACCGCGATGAATGCTACAATGGTAGGCAATGTTTACGCCAACACGAGGAAAACGCTTTTAGAAGTCTTTTGGAATAATTACATATGTAGTTACAGAAAAGATGAGAAATGATAGCTTTCTGTGTATATAGATTGTGAAAAAACAAGCCATATTGGCCTGGCAAAGTGTGAAATAATCACCTGATTAAGTGTATTATGAGTAAGATATTTTTATCGTGTATTTACACATCCTTTCGAAAGAGAAAACGATTCCGGCATCTTTATGCAGTGTAACATGAGGTTCAATTCATTTAAAATTAATGATACTATACATTTACCGTGTGTCTGTTTGTAGAAATCAAACTGAGAAAACTCTGATTGAAATAGACATTATAGGAAGAAAGGATTTCAAGAAAACGTGAACACGGATAAATATTTGATTAATATTTCTTTATTTCTGTTTGTATGTTAAGTAATTCTGTTCGCCAGGGTTCCCACCTAGATCACTGTCAGTCAACGTAGCACTGTGAAAAACCTGTGAATTATATTTGTTTGTCTAACAGTCTGTTCGACAAGGCTTTCGACTTACTCATCATCATTTTACATTTTAACACATTCATTATTTCTGTAAGTTATAATCTGGAGTATATAATTTGGTAAATTTAAATTCAAAATGACCGTCTAAACAGTTTTATGACGCTTTGAAGCAGATGCATCATTTTATTCGTGGAGTGAAGGATGACAGAAATGGTAATAATGATTAAAATTGAGCATTGACTAATATTTTAAACTTTCATAATTAAAATTTATCACAGGTCATGCAAATAGTTATATTTGTCCATCCATGTTAGAGGCACAACGAGTCGCCCAGTCAAATTTACATAACAAACTACGTAGGGTACATGTATATATTCATCTTTCCAATGTCAGGCATCAAAGGTCGTCACCAATCCCATCGCCTCTTTCGCACTGAATTGGTACCATATTTCTACACAACCTGCGAAACTTTTACTGTTAATCGCTTAAAGTTGGCGAGATATACGTTCGCTTATTGAAGATTCAAACAGTTCACATATCTTTAGTAACACATATTTAAACAGCAAAATGTATTCATCAGTCTATGGGCAATACGCAAATACTTCCATTTTCTCGCGTTAAGTCTTCTGAATATATCGCGTAAATAATTAAGGATTCGCCAGAAGTAACCAAATTTAAAGTATACAGTATAGCGTGGCATATATCTTAATGTAAGTTATGTTTTATAGTAATGGTAAAATATGATAACGACACAAGATTTGACGCCCCTCCATGTAAGTATATATCTAAGGATAGGTTCCAGTCGAGAGTGAATATATACCCGGTATCCTGAGAAAGTCGCGTGTAATCGTCAAACATGTTTTCCACGTGCAGTTCCTCTATATGAATACTTGTTACCGTTTCGAATTGACGTCATCATCGTTTTTTCCGATGCTGGATGAGCAGAAACAGAAACCTGCAAAGGAAATGGATCCGTAAACAATTAGCTAGACACGAAATGAGTCAATCGATCACGTGACACAACTATGTGGTAAACATTCCACTATACATACATTACTAACTGTGGTATGATATTACTATTACACAGAAGTTGCGAGTTTTTAGCACAAAAACAGCGCGAGACATAGTATTTAGGTAATCTTGCTAGGAATAGTTTTTTAACTACATGTATGCATCTTTATCTTATTGATATTTTACATACTAACCATTTACAATCTTATGAATTTCAGTAGAATCTATTTCTAATCATTCATATCCCAATCTTAAACAAAACCTATTTATCTGTTCCAAAATCATCCAATACTGAAAATGACATCTGCCAACTTTTCCGTAACGGTTTGATATTGGTGACCGGCGACCAGGTAGCTTAATTGGTAGAGCGTCCGTCAAGAGTCCAGAGGGTTCCGTGTTCGAAACCTGGTCGGGCCATACATTTCTCCTGTTACACACTTTACACATAAAGGGTTATTTACCTACCAACTCTTCCGTAACTTTAGACATTGATGATAACTCACCTGTCGACTGTTCCGTAACTTTGTACATTGATGCTAACTCACCTGTCAACTGTTTTGTAATTTTAAACAATAACGCTAACTCACCTGTCGACTGTTCCGTAACTTTGGACATAAAGGGTCATGTACCTATCAACTCTTCCGTAACTTTACACATAAAGGGTTATTTACCTACCAACTCTTCCGTAACTTTAGACATTGGTAATAACTCACCTATCGACATTTCCGTAACTTTGTACATTGATGCTAACTTACCTGTCAACTGTTTTGTAACTTTAGACAATAATGCTAACTCAACTGTCGACTGTTCCATAACTTTAGACATTCACGATAACTCACCTGTCGATTGTTCCGTAACTGCTGGCACTGACAGCGAATGAGTCGCCACACAAAGTCATGGAAACCTCTGTGCATGAAAAAATACAGAATCGGATTCTGTGCACTGTGTGCGTGTCCTAGCAACAATGCGTAAGGGTAGAGGCTCATGGGAATAGATGTGTCACGTGAGAATAGAATACACAGATTTATAATGAAATAAGGTAGCCAGCACACGGCAAACAGAATCGAAATAACAATCATCATCCGGGCTAGTTTACGTCGACCTCCCATAACCCTCGCTTCGTTATTGACCATAGAATTTGCTCGCTGTAAAGTGTGATCCTGGGTCCATAGGCTACAGCCAATCACAGTGTATAATCCAACTACGACGAAACCAGGCATAATGTACACAATAAACATGAGAAACAACTCATAACAAAGTTTGGCTCGCGGCGATGGCCAATTTTCTATGCAATATGATAATTCCATGAACATGACGTTGTATTTCTCCAACTTTTTGTACATGGCAAGGGGACACATTGTGATGATGGCAACCACCCACGTGATTATGATCACCTGCTTCACGCGGCGAGGATCGCACAGTGTGCGCATGCGCATCGGGTGTCGTATGGCCAGGTACCGTTCCACACTCATGCAGACGATTGTCAAGACACTGGCTTCAACATACATACCTGAAAATAACAACAAATAATTGAAAACACTAATTAAATACAAACTATATAATATAAAATGAAGTATAAGTATAATTACAAATAACAGAACATTTTCGAACACAAAGTAAAACATGACCGTCAGTTCTGGTATAGCATTAAAACTTGAACCTTACAAATGAATATGTATTGATATCAAAATGTATGAATATATATATTTATATGTTAAGCTCACAAAAAAGGGGGGAGGAGTCGTGAAGCATGTATCGTCAGGACATCAGAATGAAGGAGCAGTGGATTGTATTTCTCATTTGTTATAAATATATATTCAAGGAAGGAAGCAAGGATGAAAAAAACCGTATGTATTTTCATAAACAATAGATATTGCGGTCTTTCTAGCATTCATTCAGCCCAATAGCTCCGCCAAATCAGTTTTGCCAGGAAATCCCGAATGGTTCCTAATAACTGGCTCTTGCCAGAAACGTTTACCATAGGAAACTCGTGATTAATTCCGCATAACTGACGGCTCCATTATTTGGTTAACAGTATTATATAAAACAACAATGAAGTTAACATTTCTTTCATAAAATGATTGAAAACATTATCCAGGTAAGCAAGATGATTTAAAACCTAGCAGCTTACAAACATATTTTTAAAGATGCGCATGACGAGAAATGTAAACGTAGCTAGGTTTCATACCTATATGGCTATTACGTACCTACATTATATTCCTTTATATACACTTACAGCTGAACTTAATTGATATAAAGTCAGTTATTAAGAAATATTTCACACATATTAAGTCCGTTTTCTGGTCATATACCATGACATGTGAAACGTTGCCAAATTGTGATTATATATTACAATTGGGGAAACTAACATTTGAATTAAAGTTAGGCATTTGAATTGAATAAATAGCGTTTGATTTAATTATCGAACCCAAATATATACCGTTTTTTAACTTGTATTTTTAATCTATTATGTATCTAATTGCGTCCTTTAAATTGAAGTATGTCCTCTTTATTCCAAATGTTTATTAATTAATTTCAATAATTTCTTATTGAATTCCAATTCAACAGTTGATTCAAAAAAAGAAATATTAAATAATTCGAGGTTATTATACATGTATGCCGCTTTATCACAACCTAGTTCGTAGGTCGTCTCAAAGCGGTTCACAAATTATTATCCATGGTTATAGGGCCTTTGCAACCAGCCAATATCTTTCTCAACTCCCTGGGGAGCATATAGCGGGAGCTGCCATTTCGATGCTAACAGCTAGCATTCAACAATTCTAGCACTGCCCAACCACGTACTCATTTACAGCTGAGTAGACTGGAACAAGCGGAGTAAGAATCTTGCTCAAAGATACAATACAGTTCCGTGCCGTGACTCGAACCCGCAACTATTCGGTCACGAGCCCGGCATCCTAACACTAGACTACTGAGCGTCCTATTTAAACTTTTGATAAAATGCTTACTATTTTCACTAAATACATTTCTACAATTTTAGATACCTCAACAGCTGTTTAATTATATGTTTTCTAACATGAATATTTGGAAATAATTGAGATAAATCGAAAGACGTTTATATCGATCTATGTTTATTGTCCAAAGGACTTATCACTTGGTTATTGGATAAAGCTTGTAGAAACAGAGTTCTTCTCAAAATATGACAGGCAAACAGAATTATTTAGATGAGTCTGTAATGCAATGTTCTAAAAGTTCTAAAGAAATGTGTAAAAAGATCTAGGACATTTTGCCCTGTAAAAAATCATTTACTACTGTTAATTTAAAAGTTGATGCAATTACTATTAAAAAGGTAGATGTTGCTGACACCTTTAATAAAAAAAATGCAGTATTGGGACAGAATTAGGCAAAACCTTTGATGATATTTTACTAAAAATAGACAGTTTTGTTACTGACAATCCTTATGTTATCTAAAATATCACACCAGATTTTGGACTCGCTGACATCAAGCAAATGGCTAATGGTAAAGCTACTGGTGTAGACGGTATTTCTGGGAAACTACTGAAATCTGCTGGTGATTCTATTGTGTCACCCTTAACCTTTTTGTTTAATATGTTAATTTCAAAAGGAGTTTGTCGTTCTGAGTGGAAAAAAGGCCAAGGTCACACATATAGTTAATGCAGGTGATTCTACCTTAGTTAACAATTATAGACCTATCTCTGTCCCAGTAAGATCTTAGAGAAGCATGCACATAATACATTGTATAATTTTCTTTCACACAACAAATTGGTTAGTGATTGCCAGTTTGGATTTCGTCCAAATCATTCTACTGATACAGCTCTAGTGAATATTGTAGACAAATGGCTGAAAAATATTGATGGAGGTTTCTTAACCGGTGCTGATTTTATCGACCTTCGCAAGGCATTAGATACTGTTAATCATGCTGTTCTTTTACAAAAACTTAAAGCGTATGCTGTATGACCTCTTTGGTTAGAATTCTTTGCTTCTTACCTATCAAACAGATCACAGGCTGTAAGTTACGGTGATAAAATGTCTGATTTTCAACCTATCAATATTGGTGTACCGCAAAGCTCTATATTTTGGCCTCTGATTTTCATTTCAAATATTAATGACTACCCTAAATGTCTGAAACATTCTACTGTAGTAATGTATGCAGATGACACCTCACAAAGTGTTAGGAACAGAACAATGAGTTTTTAGAAAAACAAATGATAGAATACTTAGAATGTACAATTCAGTGGATGAGATAAAACAAACTTAGTCTTAATCTGAACAATACTTAGTGCATGTTGATTGGGTCGTCTCAAAAGTTATCTAAATATCGTGAGTTGAACATTACTATTGATAACTTAATTATAGAAACTGTACACTGTGCAAAACTTCTTTGTGTTTTTGTCGACTGTTGTCTGTCTTGGAAAGAACACATTGATTACATATCAAAGAAAATTTCGAAAAAGATTGGCGTTCTGAAAAGGTTACGACCTTTCATGTCTAATGATGTTCTCAGTAAAGTATATTAAAATATAGTTTTCCCACATTTTATCTATCATTCTGAAGTCTGCAGTAGGGCTAGTAACAAATCATATATTCATAAAATCTCCAAACTTCAGAAAGGAGTAGCTAGAGTTTTGTTAAGTATAAGAGACGTTTGGACCCCTTCCATTTTGCTTTTTAAACAGTTAAAGTGGCTGCCAATAGAAGATTATTTTTTTTTAAAAGCAGTTCTGGCTTACAAAATTTTACATGGGAATACTCCAAGTGTTTTAAGTAATATATTACCTATGTCAGCCATGGTTATCAGTTTTAGAAATACAAGGTCATCAGTTTCCAACAAGTTTTATATTCCCACTGCTAGAACAATTTTTTTTAAACGTTCATTTGTGTACACATGTTCTGTTTCATTGAATGGATTGAATGAAAATATTAGAAATGCGTGTAGTGTTGCTGCTTTTAAACGCGAATACCCACAGGATTTCTTATATACTTTTTAAATAAGTATTGTATTTGTGTTTAATATACATGTATTTTAATCTGCAAATGTCTTTCATGTAGCTTATGTGTATTTTTATGTGATATCTGTAAATATATTGATGCAGGGTCATATTGTAAATTAGACATGTCTCAATATGTATCCCAGGATAAATAAAAGATCTTACTATTATTATTATTATTATCATTATCACACCGTTGTTTGACAAATTACTGAGAGTTGAGTCGATCAAAAAATAACGAAATGTAGAAGGTCTATATATTTCTTTCTCGTCAGCCTTACAGTGAGAATCGCACGGTGCTTTTTAATACTGGTTAATAGTTGATACATTAGGAAGCACTGACATGATCAAAAAGTCATTCAATCAACTATGATTTGAATATTATTCTACTACACTATGTAAGGTATGCTATTTATTTCGAGCTCTGTTTTTCCTAGGAGTACAGGTTGGTGTACTCGTATGACCCTTCGTGTATTAGTGTGATCTAGTGTGATCTAGTCTGGTCCCTGTGAATGAATTACTTGAATAGTTAGCACAGCATCAAACATGCTTATCACTTGCGTCGTTATAGCTCCTAACGCACAGACATGTCAACAGTACGTGGTTTGCCTACAAACAATCTTATAACTTTAAGATCCAATAATTTCTGATCGCACGCTTTCGTCGTTCGTTTGTAAAGACGGATTCATCAAATTGTTAGGTTATCTACACTAGGGCAAGGCAATATCTTTATCACTGTCCATCGGTGGCTTGAGAANGGGGGTTTGAAAATTTTTAAAAAAAAAAAAAAAAAAAAAAATTATGCGATTTGCATAGAAAAGAAAATTTAGCATTGTGTATAGCATGTACCAATTCTACTTTGTAGGCGATTAACGCGTACGTCCGGACCTAATACATTCATTTGAAGTGATGGCGTGTCGTATTAGTTTCGCCATAACAAGCGTCTTCACGATCGAGAAGGTATTATTAAAGAGTAGTTCTGATGCTATCCTGCAGTTTGTTGTTATTCCCTTCCTTGATAATTCACGCTATCAATGCAATAATCTGACAAATTGGATTCTGATCGTTTTCCCTGATGTAGTCTGCAATCACGCGTAAAGGGAAAGTCCTTGACGTAGAGTGATTGAATAATTGTGTTGATGTTTTGTTATTAACACCGGAAAATCAAGGAAAATAACAAAATATCAGATCGTTAAGTAATTGTAAACCGAAACCTGTGAAGTCGATTAAGGATAAAAAAAAGCCAGCTCAGTGATATAACTCAATCGTCTGTCGAAATGGGGAAAGTATCGAATGGCGACAAAAGTCAGTACAAATGTGAAGGGATAAAAATCAGAAGCAACGGTCATTTGAAATGGTAAGTCACTACAATGGAAGGTAGAAACGGGAAAAGACAATTACCGATAGACAGGGAAGATCTAGATATATGAGCTACCGATCCGTAGAAATGTGATATCACTGAAATGGGAACCATTACTCAAAATGAACGTGAATGTATAGAAAGGGACAACCCAAATGTCAATAGGAATAGGAATGCGTAGAA